AAAGAATTAAAAATAGAATTTCAGTATCATTTCTCATTAAATATCCTACAAATTTTTCAAATAATTTTCAAATATATCTGAATATTTGAAAATTGAAAAAATCCAATATGCAAATATATTCACATAAATTTGCAAATTTATTCGAATTTTTTTTAAACCAAAAAATATTCAGATATATTTGTTTCCAAAAATTTCCTGATGTGGTGAATATATTCAGATATATTTAAGAATCAAAAAAATCTGAATATATGTGAATATATTTGTATAAATTCGCAAATTTATTCAGATTTTTTCTAAATCAAAAAATATCTGAATATATTTGTTCCGAATATTTGAGAATCGAAAAAATCTGAATAAATTCGTGAATTTATGTAAATATATTTGCATATATTTAGATTTTTTCGATTCTCAAATATATTTGGATATATTTGCCCTCAAAAATTTTCTGATATAGTTAATGGATCATTTAATCTACAACAAGTATTTGATTGAGATGATTCAAATTTAGTAGCTAAAGACTAATGAAAAGATATTTAATTAAAATTAAATAATTAAATGAAGTTAATAAAAAATATATAATTAAAATTAAATTAAAAAAATAAAAAAATTGATAGAAAATAAGTTTAATTTATATACTTGTAAAGTATTTTTAGTTACTTTTATACTTGAACAACAAGTAAAATAACTATTTCATCAAGTATCTCTTGAAATCATTGGTTGAATATATTTTCTATAAATCTCTTTTTGAATAGTACAAAGTTGTCTAATAAAATATTTATTATTTGCATTTTTAAAATATACTACTATTTTTAATACATAAGTTGATATTGTTTTAAATTTTGATGATACTTTAAAAATTTCACCCACACACAAATTAATTTGGTAAGCATAACAAGAAAAAAAAACAAGTTCTCAATATTGGTTTTGAAGATATAACCTACAATATAATTAAAAATTAATTACATAAATTAAAATAATAATAATTATACAAATTAAAATAGTTTTAATTAACTGAAAAAACAAATAAAATTAAGATTTTTATATATAAAAAATTTACCTTGTAGTATTATATGCTAGTGCATTATCAGTAACAATTGCTAAGATAATTAAATTCAATTCTCTAATATTTGTAATCGTTTCTTTTGTTTTTACAATAACATCATCAGTTTTGTGATATTCACCACTTATATCAATTACTTTTCAAACATAAAGTTGACCATCAAAAGACATAATAATTGTTTCCATTAATTCTTACTCACATATATTAATCCAACCATTAAAGAATAATGTAATTTCAATTCTATCTGATTTCAATTTCTCAATTATTGTATTATTAAGATCTGCAATAGCTTCATGTAAAATTTTATCTAATAATATTTTTCTATCAGGTAATTTAACTAGTGAATTCAAAAACTTAAAAAGTTCAATAACTTCTAGATTATTAATTCAAGATAAAGTAAATTTACAAGAAATAGTAACAAGTAATATTAATAGATTGAATTTTTTTCTATCAATACTAGATAGAGGTCATGTTATAAAATTATCTAGAGGTTCATAATTTGAAAATAACAAGATTTGTGTTGAAGATAATGAAGCTTGTGATGAAAATGAAATATTTTGTTTTATTTTTGCTAGTTGAATATTATTATCCAATGAATTATTTGCTAATAAAAAAATCTAATTAATATAAAATATAAAATAATAAATTATTAAATTATAAATTTAAATAAATAAATATTATCTGATTATTTACCTAAATTTGTTTTTTTTTTAAATGCAAGAGAAAATATTACTTCTTTTTCTTCTAGATTATATGTTTTATTGAAATTACAACAGTTTCAGAAATGAGATAATATACAATTAGTTTTATCTACAATTACTTTCAGTTCTGAATTGTTTTCATCATATTTATTATAACGGGCTCTACAATAATATAGTTTATTACCTGATTCACATTTTTTGCTTATTATAATTATATATTTTTTTAAATTTTATACTATTTTTTTTTTTAAAAAAAAAAATTATTTTTATTAAGTAGTTAATTCCTTGGAATTAGTAGAATTATTACTATAATGATATTAAGTAAGTATTTTTTTTTTATTTTTTTATTAAAAAAATAAATATATATATAATAATAAACTCATCTTTTTTTTGCTTGTTTTCTCTCCTCTACTTTCTTGAGGTCATGATCATGGCTTTTATAAATTTGTCTTCTTTAGAATCAGTAGAATCGGTACTATGATAGATGTTATTACTATGAGTTTCCTCTACTTTTATAATTTCTTATTATTTTATTTTATTTTTATTTCTTATTTGTATTTATTTTATTAATATAGTTATTTTAGTATATTTAGAATATTTAGTTATTAGTATTTATTTAGTAGTATAATACGAATTATGTAAATCAATAATGTAGATCATAGTGACCCAGTTACTAGTTAATTTACTGACCAATTTAGTGGCCAACTAATTGACCAACTTAGTGACCAACTGATTGGCACAATTACTAATTAAGATTTTGACCAATTTACTGACCAATTTACTGGCCAAATCAAATATTATAAAGGAGTAAATTTTCTCTTTACCTCAAGACAAATTCAGATAGTTTTTAAATAAGATTCAAATAATTCTAAATAGTGAAATTTAGAAAGTAATCTCAACTTTAATATTTTTATAATCCTAAAGTAATTGAATTATTGATTTTCCTCATAATAAACCTATACTTTTATATTAAAACTCTGTTCTTCTTATTAATTTATATTCTTTGAATTAAATTCTGATCTATAAATTTCTGTTATTATTTTATAAACCATTGATAAATATATTTAATTCTTTGTCTTAATTTCTTCAATCGACCTTTAAAAATTAATTATAAATCAATATTTAAATTCAGTGACCCTAAATTCTTAAGTCTTTTAATTAGTTTTTTTGTATTTAACTTAATATTTCTTTTATTCTTCTTCTATTATCTTCTTTAATTTGTAAACTAAAGTAACTATTTACGAGTTGCTAGTTGTAAATTACCTTTTGGAAAATAAATTAGTCCAAAAGGTTAACTAGTAACAATTTGGTACCTTCTAGTGAAAACAAATCAAATCTTTATAATAGTCTCTAATATAGTATTTTATAATTTATTTTCTTTTAGTTAGTTACCTTTCAATGTAAAAGCCTTAATTAGTTAATTATAATTTTAGATAATTATCTTCTTACCTTTTTTAGTATTAATAATTTATTTCTATAATTAACACTGAGCAAGTTAAAGAGCTTAACAAAACTATCAAAGAAATAGTTGAATTCTATCAACAAAAGATAAAAGCAATAGTCAATTAAACACTTGAAACTGAGGATCCCATTTAGAAATTAGAAGACCTTGAAGAATTATATAAAATTAAGGAGTAGTTAAATTTACTTTTCTGAATTCGAGACAATTGTTATAAAATCTTGGACAACTTAAACCTTTTAAAAAATACTTTCTATCTATTAAATTAATCTTTTCAATAAATAATCTGTAATTTTGAGTTATCAACTGTCAACTGAATCTCTTATCACGCACGTTACCAAAAAGTTACAACAGGTACATTCAAATACTCCTGTTGATTTTTCACAAACTGTCTATACATCACAACTATACATGTTCTCAAAATTGATTTTGGATTTTTGAGATATTTTGACTTTTTGAAATTTATGCAAAATCTATTCTATATATGGAAGTAAAAAAAGTACCTAGTTATATGTATCTTTAATCAAAGAATAAATCTGGGTGGTCAAAAAATTTTGGGCTTTAAGTAAAATAATTTTGTCTTCTATGAAAAACTATTTCGACTTTTTTCCCCGAAATTGTAATTTCGGGGTCCCAAAATAATTTTGTGTGCAAGTATAACCACAACTACTCTCCACAGTGATGTCACCATAAGATTCTCCATCATTATTCCCTGAGGATAAAAAGACTCAGTCTAATAAATCATTAACTACTCCTATGGTTAGTTCATCTGTAAATCCTACTTTGTCTAAAAGAACAAGAAAAATTATCATTCCTAAATCACCAGTATGAATATTTCAAAATATTAAACAAAAGCAAAAGTCAAGTATACTTAGTCAAAATATAAGTGAAAGTTCCTCGCCTACAGTTAGTACCCATCCGTTACTATTTTCAACTACTATAAAGTTATTAGAGGAAGAAAGGAATTTTGAAACTACTACCACTAGCCCTTTTACCCTAGATATGCTTGAACTACCTGAGTTAACCTTACTATACCCTTTCCCATCATATTTTCTCTTTAGTTAATCAAGTACAATTCTAACACAAGTAGACTCTAATACTTGGATAACAAATTTAATACAATAAATAAAAGGAGGAGACTATTTTGAATCTCCTAAACTAAAAATAACTACTTCAGATAGTGCGCATTCATCAAATAAATCATCTTCACACTCTAGAGACTGAGTGTATACAAGAAAACAACAAACGCTATCAACTAAATCTAGTAGTTCCAAAACTTCAGTCAGAACCTCTAAACAAAAACAGAAACAAAAAGAGAAATCTATTGAATACTCTCCTACTATTAGTTATTTTGATAATACTGATCATAACAGTAGTAACAGTAGTAGTAGTGATAGTAATAATTGTGATAACAACATGATGTCAAATATACAAATTTTAAATTATTTTCAACACAATGTAGGAGTTACTACCATCTGAGTAGAACCTTTCTATAATGGTTTACAAGATCCATTAAAATAATTGGAAGACTTTGAAAAAGTTTCACGAATAAATAAATAGGATGAAGATTGAAAAATTATTATATTAAAGGTACATATGAGAGATGATGTTGAAGAATGGTGTGATTATACATGTTCCCAAAATTGATTTTGGATTTTTGAGGTATTTTGACTTTTTGAGATTTATGCAAAATCTATTCTATATATAGAAGTAAAAAAAGTATCTAGTTATATGTATCTTTAATCAAAGAATAAATCTAGGTGGTCAAAAAATTTCAGGTTTTAAGTAAAATAATTTTGTCTTCTATGAAAAACTATTTCGACTTTTTTTCTTGAAATTACAATTTCAGAGCTCCAAAATAATTTTGCGTGCAAGTATAGGTGTGATACAGAAACAGAAGCACTCACTTGTGATAATTGAAAACAAGCTTTTATTACATTCTTCTGTAATTTCAGATGAATTAATAAATAGTTTCGCAAATTAGAAAAACTCCATCAATTGAAAAATGAAACTATTGATACTTATTACGTTATATACTGACGACTGGTTTAAAAAATTGATAAAACTGAAGAAATATTTGCAGCAAATAAATTAAGATACTTTGTAAAGGAGTTAAGACCTGAATTAGCCCCTTTAGTAATGATGAATGATGTAGCAGATGTAATTGCTATAGTCAATCTAATTAGAAAATATGAAGCTGGTGAAGATATAGTTAAAAGAAGAGAACCTCGTAAACTACAAAAAGAATCTGATTCAAAGTCAGAACAAGAAACTCAACCTTGATAAAAAGAAAATAAGAAAAAGAAAACTACAGAAAAAGGGAATTTAGATGACTTAGTACAAAAATTTGAAAAGTTACAAATTAATTTAGCACAAAAAATTGATCGTTTAGCTAATCAAGTAAACTCCAGAAAACCTACTCCTTGTAATCAAAACTTTAATAATCAAAATAATTATTATAATAACAATCAAAATTATAACTCGCAACCCAATAATCAATCAACTACTCAATATTGTTAATAATCTGGTTGCAGTAATTAAATAATAATAGAGAAAATAATTATAATAATAATAAACGTAACCAAAATAATGGACGTGACTACCAAAATAATCCTGTTAGATATGCTGAGATAACTGAAGATAAACTTAGCAGTGAGGAAGAAGGATTATTAAATTAGCTTTTGGAAGCTTACTTAGGAAAATATGAATGAGATGATAACAGTTTAGATGAGAAAATAAAAAAGCCCTGAACTAGTGATTACTTCAGAATCCCTAAAATAAATACTTTTGAAATTCCTTTTTGAAAAGAATTCAAAAGTGAAAGTAAACCTAAAACTATCATTACAAAAAGGGACAATAAAAAGAAAAGTCCTAATGAAAAGAAAAGACCTGCCAAGAAAGAGAAAAATGAAATTCCTAAATTATTACGTACTAAGGAATTTGATATTGCTGAACAAATGTAAAAACAAGAAGTAGGAATTACTTGATCTCAATTGCTTCGACTCACTAGAATGAAACATACTTTATTAAAGAATTTAAAAATTTCTAGAAAAGTTGATGTGAAAACTGCAGATCAAGAATTTTGGCCACGAATTACTTCCTTAAAATGTGCTGTTGATATTAATAGATATACTGTACCTGTTATTGTTAATAGTGATGCTGCTATTAGTATGATAACCTGAGATACTATGGAACAATTAGGATATTCTATTGATGAACTATCCAATAGTATTATTTTACCTGCAGTAAGAGAAAATATCTGACCTTTAGAAGTTATTAGGGACTTCCCTGTGAATGTTACAGGTTATACTATTCCTATTGATATAGAAGTTACTGAAGTTACTATCTATACTCTCATCTTAAGAAATAACTAGCTCTTAAAAACTAATGGAAATTATAATTGGCAAAACCAGGAGTTAACCCTAAAGTGAAAAAATAAAGATTTAATTTTAACTACCTCCTGTATTCGAGAAAATATAATAGAAATCCCTGAAACTGAAAGTAAAAAAGAATTTAGTGACAGTGAAACAGAAAGTGAAGAAGAAGTTTTTGAACAAGAGAATGATGAAGATAATGATGTTTTCGAAAACTGTATTGAATATTCTGAAGAGGAAATGAATTTCTCTGAAGGAAATGAAAATGAAAGTGATGATAATAAAGAAATTGAAATTGAAAGTAATACAGAAAATGATAATTCAGATTCTATTGAATCTGAAGATGAGGAAAGTAACTTAGAATCAGAATCTAAAAGTGATAGTGATGATGATAAAGATATTTTAGATGAAATTCCTGTAATGATGGGAGACTTATTAGTTAAAACTGAATTGAATGTTGGTATTTTAAGTACTAAATAACAAGAACAATTCAATCAGTTACTTGAAGAGAATCAAGATATGTTTACAACAGATATTAGTTAATTAGGATAAACAAATATTATTTAACATAAAATTAATACTGGAATTGAGAAACCTGTAAAATAAAGATTTTAACATTTCAATTCAATTAAAGAGTAATTTATAGAGAAAGAAATCCAACGACTACTACAAAAAGGACTAGTTGTAAAATTCTTTAGCTCTTGGGCTTCCCCAGTAGTTGTTATGAACAAAAAAGAATGAAAAATAATGTTTATGTGTTGATTATAGGAAAGTGAATGCCCTTACAAAAAAAGATGCTTACCTAATCTCTCAAGTAGACAATATGTTAAGCGCAATGCAAGGTGCAAAATAGTTTACCACCCTTGATTTAGCAAGTGGATATTGGCAAGTTGAAATGGATCCTAATGATAGGGAGAAAACTACTTTTATTGTAAAATAAGGAACCTATAAATTTTCAGTGATGCCATTTGGGTTAACTAATATTCTAGCTATTTTTTAACAGCTTATGAATCAAGTTTTTAATAATTATTATATAAAGGTATTATTGTCTATTTGAATGATATTAATATTTATTTCAAAATATTTGAAGAACACTTGGAGAAATTAAGAGAAGTACTAAAATAACTATGTACTATTGGTTTTAAATTAGATCCTGACAAATGTCACTTCTAGAAGAAACAAATTGAATTTTTAGGTTATATTGTTAATGATCAAGGTATCGCTACTGACTTAGCAAAAATTGAGAAAGTATAACACTTCCCTTGACCTAAGGATGTGACAAAAGTTTGAAGCTTTTTAGGATTAACTTTATACTATAGGAAATTCATTTGTAACTTTTCTAAAATAGTACAACCTCTACATAAATTAACACAAAAAGATGTATCTTTTAAATAAAAAAAAAGAACATCAACAATCCTTTGATACCCTTAAAGAGAAATTGACAACATCACCTATCTTGACATATTCAGATTTTGAAAAACTTTTTTACCTATTAATAGATAGATCTTCTGAAGGACTTGATGTAGTTCTTACTCAATTAAATAACTAGGGCTTAGAATAAGTAATTGCTTATACAAGTAAGATCTTATAGGGAGTGCAAAAGAATTACATTGTTACCGAATTGAAATGTTTAGTCATCATTTGAGCAGTTGAACATTTTCATTATTATTTAGACATAAAACTATTTGTGATTATTACTGATCACTCTAACTTAACTTGATTACATACTGGTCCTATAAAAAGATACCATGTCCAATGGATTTTTAAATTATAACTTTATAATTTTAAAATTAAATATAGACCTGAACGCATTGTCCAGACTATACATGTTTCCAAAATTGATTTTGGATTTTTGAGGTATTTCGACTTTTTGAGATTTATACAAAATCTATTCTATATATGGAAGTAA